AAAACAAAACAAAAAACATCTCCATATGTGAATGCTTGTAGGTTCTTCCTAAAGCTCAGCTTCCACCTCAGTGTCTGTCAGTCTGGAGAAACGTGGCTAAATGCTAAGTTTCTGCTGTAAGTTGTTTGTCGATGACAGAAGTCTTCCATTATACCTCACAGCTCCAGGCCCCCCACCCTCCCTCCAACCTCCCCCCCAACTCCATCCCCCATGATCAGACAGCGGTGGACTGAGAAAAGAGCTCATGCCTGCTCCCCCTGTCCCTCAGACTGTGGTGGTTGTCTTTTAAGTGGTCAGCTGGCCCAAAAGCCTCCCTGCTGACTGTCCCCTCCCACAGCCACAGCACCACACTCTAGGCTGGCCCACTAGGGAGCCCCCTCATTTCACCAAAAGGGACCACAACCCTTTTGCCAGGAAGACCCGCGACCTGCCGGTAGCAAGCGGAGAGCAGGTGATGTGTGAGGGAGTCTGTGGAGGCGGGTGCATGTGAGGTGGACTGTGTGAACTGATGCATATGATTATTTTTATCATGGGACACTGAGATACAACCTAACTTTAATCTCTGTATTGTTTAAAATCATGTCCCCCCCCTTCCCAAAAAAAAAAAAGCATTAAAAACATATATGGTATATAATAAGGTAATAAAATACTTTAATTACTATATTTTTAAAAAGATCTGTAAATAAGCCTGGCTAATCTCCACAAATAACAACACTCTAGGGTCAAGCCAGAATATCTACATTAAGTTAGGTTCCATAATTTAGAATAGTACAGTTTCTAGGTTTATTATTGCATTAGCGAAGTTCATGTCCATGAATAACAACTCTGTCGGGTCTCAACCTAAATATGTATTCTAGTCAAGTAGTTTTATAGTTTTTCTAACTTTTCCCTAATATGTGAATAACTCAGGTAGAGTCATACCTTAAATACCACTCCAGCATCCCAACTGCAATCTTGTAAAGCCAATCCTTATTCTTTTTACTGGTGGTTTGACTGACATGCTTCATAAAAACAGTCTTTTTGCGCTGCATCTGAACACAATTTCGGCTACGCATGTATATGCATGACAGATGTGCTAATGAAATGAAATGTATGTATGGATTGTCATGTGCACGGGTGTATCTGCTTCTCAGCCCCTACACTAGCCAACCACTGCTCCAGGTCCGCCTGCACCAGTAGGGCTGCATTCACATAAGCAGAGCACCATTGAACATTTCACAAAGGGCCGGATGAGGGGCTTTGCCCAGCGTCTGGACAATGGACCGGCTCGCGTGGCTTAGCACAGGTAACGAGTACCGGCACCAACTGTGCAACACTGCGATGGCAGAACTACAGCTGGCCCAACGCCTCTCCTCACTACCCTCTGGGGAATGCTTCATAGTCCTCTACCTAACAAATGCAGGCAAGGCGTATGCATTCCCCTACCAAGCGGTTAGAATCCCTTTTGACGAAATGAGACGCTACCGAGTAACAAACCTGCCCAGAGAATGCTGCTGGGGCGTGAGCGAAGTCCCGTCCCTCAGGGTTGCACAAGTGAATAAAAAAAACAAAACAAGCGGCCAACGATTTCTCAACTCGCTGCCCGACTTCCATCCAAGGCAGCCCTGGCCAGAAACCTGGCTGCACCTGGGTGGAGGGGTGTGAGACCGGCCAATCACCTTAAAAGCAATCAGCTACAATCTGCGAAGGGGAGAGGGATAGCTGAACTTTTCTCCCAATCCCCCAAAAAACAGATGAGCCAAAAAACACAAACACAGAGCCACATCCAGAGAAAGAGAAGAATTAAGTCTACGCCTCTGCAGTAAAAATCATCTGTTATAAATCCAAAGATGCGCACGTGTACACAACCACCAAACATTCACAGACAATTAAAAAAGGCACGCAAAGAGGTACACTGTGAACACTGAAATTACTACAAAACGCATGCCTGATTCCAAAAACTAAAGTGCTGAAGTTTTAACAGAAAAGAAAAAGACCTGATGGGCAAAATAAAATGGAGGAGGAAAGGATATTCATTGTCGTTCATTCACTTACCCAGAGATCTGGAGGTCCCCCTTTGTCCCTCCATCTCTCTCTCCCGCTCTGCTTTTGTCAGCTAAACTAAACCTAAGATGCTGTAGCGGCTATTTGTGTGACTGTATGAGTGTGTGTTATGTGGACACGAAGGTGTTTCATTAACTGTCAAACATTGTGGGAGAAAATCAGGTACTAGGTGATAAAAAAAAAGTACAGAATTGTGGAATATTACTCCTACTATTTAAAAATATTACTAACAATGTGTTCCCTGAGATCAATACAAAATAATAAATCTCCTTTGAGAAGCTGAAAACTGCCTTCATTAGATAAATGTGGATGTGGATAGATGTGTTTCTGGTCCTTCATGTATACATGCATAGCTGAGGTGCTTCCTGCTGTCTTTACGTTTTCCCATATATGTGTCATCCAGAGAGACGGGGGGAGGAAAGGGACCATCCAGGCGGGAGGGGAGTCAGCTGTTGGCACCAAGGGGCGATGACAGGAAAGGTACCCACCTGATAAAGTCCCCGTTGGGGTCGGTGCGTCGGCCGAAGCCCACGGGGCAGTAGCAGTGGAAAAACTGCTGGAAAAATGAACTGCAGGACAGCCACATCCAGCTGCCTGCGTTCACACTCCAGTCTGCGTCTAGAAGCAACTCCTCAAAGACCTGCAGCAACACAGAGAACACAAAACTGTTTTCAGCTCAACGTATTATGATTTTCAGGTTCTTGAAGAGAACTGACACTACTGCTAGACATTATGTAAAGGCCAACTACGGCTCTGTGGCGTCACTGATGTTCTGAGGGAAAGAAGAAATCCTCTCTTCTCCCAGACCTGGTGCCATCTGTGATGACCCCTGAGGTCATCTTGTGTCTTGTGGGTGGTTCTAGCTCAGCTATTGGTTCTGTGAGTGGCTGTTTAGGATAATCAGGAGCACCTGTGACACCCAGTGTGTTCCTGGGTTACTTAAGGGCTGACTGCAGTCTGATCTCTCTCTACTCTGCTTCCCTCCGCAGGTATTGCATCGGTCTGGTCATGGGTTAGTTTTCTTTGTTTAGGACATCTGCATTTACAACACTTGCACAGACATAATTCATGCATACATCACACGCACACACACCACTGACTCTATGTATTCTCACAACCCCATATTGGTTTGGTTTTTAATTTGATATAATTTAAGGGAATAAAGATAAGCTTTCATTTTGAAACTTGGTGTGTCTCTCCTTTTGTTGCGGCCATCTTGAGCCCGGTCGTAACACATCTTAAACTCACTTCTTTGCAGAGAAGTAGACTGAATCCTCATGGTAGAGTTGTTTGGTATTCATCAAGAGCCAGACATTTCATATTACCTCTGAGTTTTCTAAATTGACACATGCTTACCGTTGTACTTCTTTAGCTTTCATCCAGAGGTCTTAATACAACATATAATAAAAGTTGACTGATTTTCCTCTGGGTTGCCGTTTGTTTGAGGGATTTCCCTATCTTATTTATTTTGCACAAGTAATTACAACTTTTGGGCTGCCGCTGACCCTTGCTGACTTTGGTGATTGACGGAATTTATGTCATGCAGGCTTTTGGAGGCTTTTGCGAGCACAATTGAACAGTAAAAAAGAATAGGCTGCATTATTCTCGAGACGTTACTGCAATTACCACTAACAGTCAGATTTCAAGTTCACCTACATCCACACTACATCTTCTCTCCGCAGCTTCTTGTCACCATGTCATGTACATTTCTGCCACCTCACCTTCATCCCTTCCTCCCAGCTGATCCACAGGTCCCCTCTGGTGAGGAAGCAGGCCACTGCATGCCTGGCTAGATGATGGATCCAGCCCTCCTGCCTCAGCTGAGTCATGATGGCGTCTATCCAGGGAAAGCCTGTCTTAGCCTCAGCCCACTTGGCCAGTGCCTCTGGATTTTTGTCCCAGGGAATGCGGACGCAGATGGGGTTTCCTTCCATCTTGTCAAAGCGTGGGTTGTTGGTTGCTGCGGTGTAGAAGAACTCGCGCCACAGTAACTGGCCATACAGCGAGAGCGGAGGAGAGCTGTTCTTTTTCACCTGGAGAAATTTGAACACAGCAAAAAGCACTGAAATCAATACGCAGCAGAAAATATGGTGGTAAATACAACCTATTTTTATAAATCTCACTGATGTTTTTTTCCCCCGATTTCTTTAATATATTTCTGTTTGTTAATGAAAACTTAAGTATGTGACACCCCCTCTTAATTATGCACTTGGTTTTGTCCTGTAGCTCCCAGGAGCCAACACCGACGAAGACGAATACGGGCCATGGTTGTATTACAGGCAGTCAAGTTGCTTTTTACAGTGAGTGGAGGTTTTCTTCACATTTCTGTGGCAATTGTTAAGATGAAAGCTGCACAGTTAAAAAGCCTCAGTTCACCTTGAGTTCCCCTATTTTACTTCCTTTAACATACCCAGACAAATCATCAGTAATGCTTCCTGTGTCATCGGGTGTATCTGGTCTTTCAACATCACACACGTCACCCTTGAAACCCAACTCGGGAAGGTCAAGCCCCTGCTTGTGTTGTGGTATCACTACGCCACCCTCTGGTATCGATTGCATAACACATTTCCATCCATCCATTCATCCATAATTTGTACACTGCCTAATCCTCACTAGGGTCACGTCAAAATACAGTGAATAATATTAACTCAGATTGACCTGCACACCTGCACGTCGATGACCCTGAACAGCCAGCTGAGTCACACGGCCTGAATATTTTAGTGCTGATTAACGATAATTAACATTTTGAGCCTCTGCTACTCTGTGGTATATTTGAAAAATGTCTATCAAGCCCATTTAAAGCAACTCATATGCACAATGAAAGTAATTATCTAAAGAAATAAATAAGTTATTACACAATCCTTAAATCACTAAACTGGTGTGTTCCTTTAAAATCATGAAGTTTGAAAGTTTGTGTATGTTTTTGTTGTTTAGCTACTTTGATTGAATGACTGACTTTGGCCAGCTCTGTTTTGGATGCACATAAATCTAAGTAGGTATATATGATTATACTTCAAATCTACCAGTGCACTTTGCATCATTGTAAAGTGCTATATTAAAAAAAAAACCCGAAACAAATCTTATTATTGCTGTGATGTACACATCTAACTAGACATTTATTGACATGAGAGTCTGGAATTGTCGAGAACACTTAACACACTTCCTTCAGGAATGTGAAACCTCTTTGCAAATGACAGGTGTAAGAGTTGTAAGCAGACCTTGCGGTAAAGGTCGGTGAGTTTGAAGTAGAACAGGCGACAGGAGAGGCAGCCAAAGCGCAGGTAGGGGCTGAGGCCTGTCGGGCTGGCCAGTAACGAGTTGGCGTTCATCCTGGGACGCTCAAAATTGGCCACCCATGCCTGGAAGGAAAGAGACAAGAGAAACAGACAGAGAGAAAGAGAAATGGTGGAGAGATAAGACATTGGTGAATTAAAGAGCAACACACAACTGTGACAAGCTAGAAGTTGTACTAATGTCTCAATAGCCAAACAAGTCACACATTATTGACTTTTAATTAAGTGTTGGATTACAGGTCAAATGATAACCAGCTAATTAATAAATCCAGTTTCAGGATTTTTTCTGACTGGCATTTATTTTAACTGATCCCTGAAAAATAAATGTAAAAATGGACTTATTTGGATATGCGGCTGCATGTCGGTGCACTGATTTGCACTGTAGCTTGTATAGACATTTGGCACGAACCATTATGTGCTTTGTAAGGACAGCTGTAGTACAAATTAAAAGTAAACGAAACACTTGTAATTTGGAATGCCTCCTGCGTTCCTGTGAAGCGCCTTAGGGCTCAGGCTTCATTGCAAAATCGGTGACTTATATATACACGTGATTTTCCTGCACCCCACAACGTGCATGCAAACCGTGCATGACAGGACATTGGCTTGAAGTCTATCCATCAGCGACACCTTTTGCCTGCTCGCTGTTATGGTTATTTATTGGATGTTTGTAGAGTTGTCTGTATTTTCAGTCATGTCCACAAAAGATTTACAGATGTTCATGGCTTTCCTGACTTTGAAAAAAATGTGTAAACAGTGCAATGTTTGACAAACAGGGAGTGATATGTTGCTCAAACTGTGAATGAAACACAAGCCCAATTTTTATTAATTTTTTAAATGTTTCCAAGCAAGATGTGCCATCCTGGTAACGTGTTCCACTTCACCTTATTGTACCGTTACAGGCCATCCCAAAATTAAAATTTCCCTCTCACAGCACAATGTGATTGGTTACATGTCAAGAGCAAGAAGCTATTAAGGATAAATGTTGACAAGATATTTTAGTTAGACATGTGTAGAACATAGATTTGTGTTGGAGTTTGTGTTTCAATGAATTCTGACACCATGATTTTCATTTATTTCACTCTAAAGATCGGTTATTGGTGTCTATCATTACTAATAATAATAATAAAAAAAATAAATTGGTCAACCCTGATGTTAGATATCACTCAATTATTGTGCATTAGAATGTAAACGCAGCAGAGACCTTATTCTAAATAGTTTCAGATATAAAGGCTTATTCATTTGAAGATCTAGTTTAAGGCTGTTTATAAGGTGTGTTTTTCAGTTCTACACTTACAAAATGGAATTAAAAAAAAATAAAAAATCATGGAGGTGTTTTCTGATGAACATGCAGCACTGACCTTCCTCTCCAGATGGCGCTCTATCCTGGTCAGAGCCTCGGTCTCTCCACCCGGCCACACAGCTGATGGAAGGCCCTCGATGTCGAAGCCTGGAAACATTAATCTCAATCACCTTCCTCATCGCTGTAAGCAAAGCTGCCTTATATTAAGTGACTTGTATGTTAAATGAGATGCTTCAGCTATGTGAGCAGATATGTCACCTACACTTTAATAAAATCTAATGCAACATAACCAGGCACCCAGAAGGTGCTCTTTGCTGCTTTTAAATCTACGTCTAAGTGGTTGTTTTGAAAACCGCAATCAAGGCACTGGTTGGTGACCTTCCAGTTTCGGGATTATTGTTTTCAATTTTTTCCCCCCTGGGTAACAGTTGCATAAAAGCATTCGACTGTGTAAGCACCGTGTTATCAGTCTCACAGTGGCACGACTCTTTTGCTATAGGAACAGTGGGAAAACACAATGACTTATCCCAGCATGCAGCAGCTGAACAACATTTTTTGTACTCTGTACAGCTCAGCCTAATTACCCACGGCTCCTCACGTCTTCAAATTTACACCGGAAATCTGTCCTGTTTACAAGAGCTGCGTGGTTGATTGCCAAGTGCTTTATACCATAGTTTCCACCTGAATCATGGCTTTTGGTTTTAATAAAAACGCATTAGCGGTCATGACATAATGCCGCTACTTCCCGCTTGATATGTGTTTGCAATCCCTGGTCGCCACTTGACAACCTTTCAGACATTACATAAGGCTTCCTGTCCAAACTTCAAAATAATAATAATTTTAAAAAAAAATCTACCTCAAAGCAATACAAAGATTTGATTTTACAAACAAATATAAATTACAATTGTGTGCAGCATATTGTCGTGTTTGACAAAAATGATTAAATACTCGGCTTGTCTTGTTATATACAGTGATGAAACGAAGTCAGCAAATTACTTGCATTTATGTCTACCTTTGAATGAATCCTCTGAATTCCAAGCAGTTTGTGTGTTTTGTTTTTTTTTGCTCTTGTCATATTTTTTTTTTTACTGCAATATGAAGTCCTGAATTTTTTCTCATTAAGTATAGAGAACTCAAAAATGTCTTCTGTGCAGCAGGAAAAAATATTCTAAGATATTATATCAAAGGAAAATATTACAGATTAATTTATTATTTTACAAAAATTGAAAACGTCTGGAATCAGCATGTAGAACATTTTTCCCAAATGTCCACAGGTGATGAATAATGGTGACTCTACACACTACAGATACTTTACTACTTACATTTTTATTTGTTTCCATACTTCTGATTAGAACAAACTGCTTAGACATTTATATATTTTTTTTAAATTAGGTAAGTAGAATAAAGTCATTTCAATGAGATATTCCATCTCTAAGCTTAGATTAGAACGTTTGAGCTCCATTAGAAAGTTAAAAATATGATTATTCTATCTCTCTTTATGGTTTCTGGCTTTGACAAATAGTATAATTTTGGTGATTATATAAATATAAGGATCCTTTCAAACACGCTGGTGTGTCACAATTATAAACAAACACAATGTGGCTTAAAGCCTTTTTGCAAATCCAACATCTCTGGTTTGTACATTTTGCTAGAAATCCCACAGTGCATGGCACCCACTAACAGAAAAATGAAACCAGAAGTCTTGTGTAAACAGATTAGAAAAGTAAGTGACAGGTTATTTTGAGCAGCTACTGTGACTGTTGGCAGGTGACCCAAGAAGTCCATGAGGGACACTGGATGCAGGTGTGAGGAGCAGATGGCAGCAGCACTGTGTCAAGACTGTGAATGAACGTTGGCCTTATGTGAAAGGAAACCATACATCTCAACTGAGCAGGGATAAGAAGCCTAACATGTTGTCTGGGTAATTTAGGGAACACACAACAGCTTGTGTGGAATAATCTTGTACAGAAAGAGTTCGGACATCTGCACCGACATATTAAGAGAACTAAAGCCCCAAATATCTCACATGTTAGTGAAGCAGTCGCACAGGTGCAAGTGGCAGATGGCTCTGTGAATGGACTGTAACCGTCTGTGAATGGAAACCAGACATCTGGATAGAAACTCACAGAGGATCAACCTGTCACCTGATTAACGAGATGTAGTTTTAAATAGAGAGGCTGCTGTGACACTTTCAGGAGGGTTTACAGTATTAAGTATGGAAGGGATTTTGGTCTCACTCTTAATCCGTCATACCTGTGGTACCAGTTATTGAAATCACATAATGCATTTCTTCTGGTCTGAACACGCAAATTCTGCCAGCAGATTGGTTGTTTTTATAAAAATCGCCAGAGTTACACCATTTATGAGCGGAAAAACAAAGAATCTTTCCACAAGCCTGGGAACTACTCGTCTATGATGTGCCAGTTGGCTGGAAAACTTCACCAAATTTAAGCTTGAAATCGGGAGGTTTCATCATAATCGCTGTATTCTACCCTTGTACTCACCACATTCTGTAAAAAACTAAAAATTCTGCACCCCTCGTGCAACTGGAAAGCAATTAGTGACTCAGCCGCAATCGCAACAGTCTTGTGACAAAAATTCAGGGAATTTTTTAAGTTGAACCGAGGGCTGCGATTACAAAGAGGGAGGTGACACGCATGGAAACAGAACGTAAGTAATACAATATCTATAATATTCAAACCTACGTGTTTCTACCAGCAGTAATAACACCTGTGGTTACTTGGAAAAATGCTGCACATGTTGAGTCCATGTTTTTTTTTTACAAAAGACAAAATATCAACCTCAGTTTTTCTTGCTGATGATTGAAGACAGTATGACTTTGTTACACTGCACAAAAGATGTTTTCAGTTCTCTCTACTTCTAGCCATGGTTGTGCTGTTTAAATAGAGACGCAGGACTTTATATTGTCGTGCAGAAATGAGCGCACGGTGAATAAAAAAGTGACAAAAAACAGCGTGTTCAGAGTACTAGACAGTAACTTAAGTATTATTATAGTAAACAAACACTACTGCTTGGAATCCATCTTCCCCGTTACATTACTTTTTGCCACTGCAGTAAAAAGTCTGTGTTTTCTCCTCCTGCAGCCGAATTAAGTTTGTCGACACTTGTCTGAGTACAGGAGTGTGTGTTTGTTTTGCTCACCCAGCTCCTCCAGGGACGGGACCCCATACTTGTCTCCGTGGTCCTCAGAGATCGGGGTGACACAGCGACCCATCAGCGTGTCCGACAGCGTCTCCACGGGCATCTCAGGAGGATCCAGTCGACTGATCAGCGTCTGGAAACGCTTGTAGGTGAGAGGAGGCTGTCCACCGTTTAGCTCGATGATCCTGAGAGGTACAGAGAGAGGAACTCAAATTCATTGTCTGCACATTATCAGTGATGATGACACAGGAACATACAGTCGTCCTCAAATGTATTCAGACCCTTCCATTAAAGAAAAAGCAAAATTCACAATAGTCACTCAAATAACTACAAACTGAAAAAAGTAATAATAAATTCAAATTTGCTAAAATATAATTAAGTGAAATAAGACATTGCTTTTGAATTGTGGTTGAGAAGAATAATAAAAAAAAAAAAAAAAAAAAAAATGTCCTGGACAAATTAGAGCACTTTGCTGATGAGCAGTGGGCCAAAATCAAAATACAGGTGGAGAAGTCTGACTACAGAAAACACTTGATTGCAGTGATTGGATCAAAGGGTTGTTCAACAAAACATTAGTTTACGGCTCCCATCATGCTTGTTTTTTTGTTGTTGTTGTTTTTTAAAAATATATATATTTCTGTTGAAACACAATTCAAAAGCAATGTCATGATTAATAAAATTCATAAATGTATTTTTATTTTTTTAAATTTATTATTACTTTTGTCAATTTCAACTTATTTCAGTCACAGCTGTTTTTTTCCTTCTTTAATGGGAGGGTATGAATACATTTGAGACAACTGAAAGTCTGCCGATTTGTGAAGAACTTTCTTTAGCATCGAATGCCACTGGCTAATTCAGACCTGCTTTACCCATCATAAAAAAAAAAATATGGCAAAAGTGGGTGTCTTGAAACCATGAATTCATTTTAAATGAGTGACAAGGAAGAACTCTTTGGAGTCAGAAGTCACATTTGTAAAAACACATTTTTGATCTTTCCTTGGAAATGTTTCAATACAGGAGCCTATCACCAATCAATCACAATATATTGGGTACGAGTGTCAACCCTAAACAGAAAACAGTTTTTTTCCAGTACCGGTGAATAAAATGAAGCATGACAAACGATGACAGAATGTATAGAAAACAAGACTCGTCTTGGTGCGCGAAGGTTTACCCGTTACAAAACAACTGAACACTGTGGATGCGTTTACAGTTTAGTTTGTGTGTGTCTTGTTCTGTTTCTCACTTGTCCAGGTCGTAGAGGGTGTGCGATATTTTGACGATGACCTCCACCCCCGCCTCCATGGCCAGCTTCTTGATGGCAGCGTCTCTCTCTTTCCCGAATGGCTCAGAATCATATTCAAAGGTCAGTCGAGAGATCTTCCACTCCTGAGACAAAGAGGGGGTAAATTATATTTTTTCTTCTCCAAAATTTCCACTTTTGTTTATCTGATCAACATGTAGTGATATTCAATTTACACTAAAGATAAACAGTTTGATGAACAGCTTTGTTTAAATGAGGCTGTCAGAAGTGCTGTTGATTTTCTTTCAGTGCCGACCTTAAAAAGCCGCGGGAACACGTTGGCTGGTTGGCCCCTGATGACAAAAAGGCGAGAGTTGAGCTTCCGAAGGCTGGCATCCAGATCCTCCAAACACTGGAGGAGGAACCTGATGGGGGAGATGCGGCAAAAGGAACAAAATGAAATATTGATCGACCGATTACACTCGACTTTGCTCCGTCTGCTGAACCTGCTGAACCTGCTGAACCCCAGAACCCAGCGGCAGATTTTAAAAAGGCCTTGTATTGTCACAAAATCACACCAAGACATTTTGAACTTTCCCACGGACATTGAACTACCCATCTGTCACATGTTGGGAAACTTAAATAAACCTAAGCTTAAAGTTGTTCATCAAAAATGTCATCAAAATCACCAACACTTTGCCACAGACAGTAACTCCAACAGGAATCCCCGCCCAAAAAAAGAAAAAAGTGCCCCTCTTGGCACAATTGGTGGCCGAGCTGTGACATTGCAGTGAAAAATGAGCCCACAGTGGGTAAAAAAAACGACTTTGCCACTTGGTTTGACTCAGATCTTTCCCTTTGTTGCTTTTTTTTTTTTCCCCCGCCATTCGCAGTTGTTTGTTTTGCACTAACTTGACGTCAGACTATAAAAAGCTCTGACAACAAAAGAACATCACCTTGATTTCTATGGTAACTGTGTTGGAATAGCCTATGGTAAAAATAGAACATGAAACGAGTCTGTGTGTGTTTTAATGACGCAGCTGACCACCCAGTGAGAACAGAGTTTCCAGACATGTTTGAAGCTCTAATGAATCTGCGAGCATCAGAACAAAAACAAAATCCCCAAAACTATCAAAATATTAATCCACCTCTGAAATGGAAAACAGAAATGAAAAAGGTCTGTCGCTTTTGGTAACTCCAGGACGAATGTGCAATTTTAGTCACGTTACATTAACATTTCCATTAGTGTATGCTTGACATACTGTGTTTTCATTTCAATGAATTATGAGACACTGTGGGCTTGTGTCTGAAATGTTAAGAGCGAGCTTTGCCTCTGAAGAGCTGTCGGAAGGTCATTTGTGACGCACACTTTCAGCTGCCATTTGAACAGACCTATCACACAGTGGGCTCTGACTTTCCAGATGATGCAGGGTGACCCTTTAGTCTGTGTGTTAAAATATATCTTACCGAGAGTAGTTTGTATTTTACATCCTGCTATTAGTTTTACTTTTCTAAATGAAGAAAAAATAGATCAGTATAGTTTTTACCTTTTTTTTAAAAAACTTAGACTGTCTTAAATCTAGTTTTGTTGCGTTACTATGTCAGCTTTAAATCCTTCTCAGTCCCGTATACTGCTTCACATCAAATATCTGACTTGGCTTCTAGATTATTTTAGCACAACTAAGTGGCTTTATTTATTCAACAGAAGTCTAGTGTGCATCAATCGTTATGTATTCTGAAACATGAAATAGTGTCAAACTGGAAAGACCGTCCCTCAACAGAGGTGGAGGTCTGAGGCATCATCTCTCACCTCAGTCCTAAGATCTCTCCCCAGGAAGATGAGCTGCATTCACACCTAACCACAAAAGACCCTAACGAACCCCTTTGTGGCAAAGGGGAGCACTACCGACTCGCATAACAAGGGGGAGGAGCAACAACCCCCAGCTGAAACCGAAACTCAGGTGTTAATGGCTCCTTAGGATGTAAGTATCTGGAACTCCCAACGAGTCAGTCAGAACTGACGAAGCCTCTTGGATGAGAGGTGAAAAGTCTTCAAAGAAACTTAAGCAAGTCCGGTTGCTATGATTAATCTACCAGAATAACCATGACCTGGATGACTGAGACTCTTCGCAGACATGTTGCTACGCACTTTGGGAAGAACGCCCTTCGACTGGTGAGGGAGTACGAAAGGACTTCCAGAAAACTTGCAGACTACAGGAATCATCTTCATTTCAACCTGAGATGCAGACAGCACAACATAATCCCGACTAGGATCCACAGTGAAAGGCGACGGAGCAGAAAGAATCCACCAGAGGGCGCAGAAGCAGCTGCTCAATGAATAAGTGAGACAGGTCCATTTCACCATTGATGCACTTAGAAAAACAAGATGCATGAGAAACTGTCAGCACTTTTACCTACCTAGGGACATTTTAGACGGAGTTTCTAATTCAGATATCAGCTGCCACATTAAATTGATTTCTTATACATTTACCATCTTAACCCTAAATTTGTAATTATAGAATAATTTGTAACTATAATGTTAAGTCCTGCACCTCTAAGAAAACGACATAACCATGGCTTGCAGTACAAAAATTTAAAAAACGGCTTTTTGTGGAGGTGCATTTGTCATCAATACTGGAAGGAAGTAAAAAAAAAGGTTCCTCTACATACTATAAATATTTCATTATATTTATTTTTATTTTTTCTTGCATACTTGTCTGCTCTGTGCATACACATCCTAATTCAGCCCCCCCAAAAAAAACATCCCTGAATTTTTGCAGTTTTTTAGAGAGGCACACAATTTCACGTCTTTTACAGAATCTGGTCAAAGCAAACAGCTTTTTTTTTTTTTTTTAGATGAGACATATAGAACAAGGCAATTTTAATGAAATATCTCAAATTTAAGCTTAGATCTGGTTAATTTTACCAACTTAAAGGCATTTCACAGATGACTAGTTCAAGGGCTGTTGAAAAGTCCTGTGAAATTTTGGCCATTTTGTAAAGACAACATGTCTTTCAATCTTGGTTTTGGGGTTCAGAGGAATAACTGGAAGAAATGTGATGATGATGAACAGCAAGTATGACTGATTACGAGTGAAACAAAAATCCCTTCCATACTTAAAACTGTACATGTTAACTACCCTTAAGGAGTCGGTGCAGCCTCTCTATTTACAACTACATCTCACTCAAACCTTTACAATTGGATTAATCAGGTGACAGGCTCACCTTCTGTTTTTATCCAGATGTCTGGTTTCCATTCACAGAAGACTACAGTACATTCATAGAGTTAACTGCACCGTAGCCATCTGCCACTTACACCTGTACAACTGTTCACTAATATGTGAGATAACTTGGGTGTACACATTTTTTTCCATCATTGCATCGATACCTATAATCCAACTATTATATGAATTATGTTTGAAATATGCTGCTTTGTATAACTACTGCTTTTATCTTTGGTACTTTAAGTACACCTTGATGCGAGTGCTACTTTCATGAAATACCTTTTTTTTTTTTTAAATGCATACCTTTATTTGGCATATCTACACCGTGGTATTGGTACTTTAAATCAAATAAAAGATCTGAAAGGTTGGGGTATTGCAGAATGTCGCAAGCTGTTACTCTCTAAGTGCAATATTTAAACACTGACTATACTATTGTATTGGCCTGGGTATGTTTGGTACTGATGTGAGTGTGTGATGTTTCAGAATGTTGTGTGACTCAGTGATCGGATGCTGTTGTGTGAGTGATGAACATTGTTTCAGTTATTTATTCTCTTTTTCTATGAGTCCTGAATGTGCACCTTTATTTCGTTGTACACGCATGTACAATGACAATAAAGTGTCTTGAATCTTGATCGTTATCTTCCATTTTCTCCAATCCAGCTTTAGGATACACATTCAATTGTAGTTCAAAGTAAAAAAACATTTTCAACTTGTGCATCTTGACTAACTTGGCATTATTGACACACTTTCATCTCTTTGCATTCTTAACATCAATCTGAAGTTTCCACTTTATCACTGAGAAAGAAAGTCTGTTTTGCAAAACCAAAGGCCTTTTGATAGCACAACATTTCTGTATGTTATGAATTATTCCATGTTCTACAGAGAAATATGTATTTATTTTCTATTTGACTATGGAAATAGCAAAGGCAGTGTCTTGTCCTGCTCGCTACAAACACTTCTTTGATGGCAGGCTGCCTGATATTACATTGAAATTTCCTACCCAACAGTACAGCCAAACTGTTTTTGGGTCAGAGTCTGTGAGTTAATGTTTCCTTGGCTTGTGGACGAGGAAAGTATTCTCACTGAATTCCGATCTAAATTATCCAAAGCTTTAAAGGTTAAGCAAGCATCGTCAGAACACTCTCATGTGTCATCTTTGCAAGTTCTTACTGATTTTAATACTTTTAAACTATTGTTTCTTTTAGGTAGTTGTATCTCAGTTGCACTCCAGCTGCAGACATTGATGGTGAACTAATTACCATGAATTTATTACCATGGTTACCATCGTTTCAAGCGATGGTTGCCATAGCGTTTCAAGAAAAACTGCCTCAGTTTTCTCGTCTCGATGCATCTGCAGGCCACAATACCACAATTCCAATAACACAAAAACTGGAGCATGGTACATTAAGTAGTACATGTGGCTTTAGATGCACATCAGATGAGTTCAAGAGCAGTGCAAAGTTTATCGACAATTTTTTTTACAAATCTTTTCACAGATCAAAGAATTTTTTTTACAAATCTCACTACACTTTTACAGTTTTACTACAATAATACCACCATATGAGTTCCTTCCATTAGCCTTACTTCTAGCCATGGCTGTGCTGTTTCCATAGAGGTGCAGGACTTTATATTCCAGTGAAAAATGCACAAACACAGAACAGACACAACTGATATGAGAACCTGAGAGACTATCAAGATTCTTCCAAAAGGATCCTTATCATGTTGTGTTATTTCTCAGTGTGCTTCCATCTCTTTCTGCATCCACAATCTGTATGTTTGGCCTATAAAAAAATGCAATGCTTCCTAACCAACAAACAGCAGCACCAGTCTAGACTGTGTTTCAGTTCTGTCTGACCCGCAGTCCTGATTTATTAGTGGAATCAGGCAGAGATCGTGGGACAAAGCAGACAGTTGGCGAGCCAAACAGACTGCCAGGCAGCGACATGATGTTCTGCTCAGTTCTGCTCCCTCCTGTCTGACCTCGTTGGCCTAATCACTAAACCAGAAGAGGGCTCGCTCACGGGCAAAGCTCCGTTTGCTCTCAATCCGCACACGGGCAGAAGTCGTGCACGTTTAAAGCACGTGCTTGTGTGTGTGTGAGTGTGCGCGCGTGAGTTCGGCACGTTTAGCGAGCGTGTCGATGCTTTCATAACTGACCGTCTGGGTGAGCCTTTTTGTCGGCCGGTTCAACAATAAGAAGC